TAGTTGGGCTGGGTGGTGCTTCTGTCCTCTCCATTGACTTGGGAGAATGAATGCCAGACTGCAGGTGTACCCTTATTAGGTCATATGTCTTATCCAATCCCACTCATCAGATGATGGTTGCAAGGGATAATCCCGAAATTCAGAGTTCTTGAGAATGAAGCGAAAATCTCCCACACCCCCTTTCTGTTGGGAAAAGAGAATGGGGTCATACCAGGATTCAAGTCTGAACTTTCCCTTTAAAATGTTCTCTTAAATAAAACAACTGTGTGTTAGAACATTTTAAACAATTGTCTTAAAAACAGTAAACCACTGTTTTGGAGGCGAGAGCACTCTTTCTTGTTCTGTTGCTAAAATCAAAAGGTACCAAATGAGAGGGTCTCGCTGGAGCAACTTCAAACAATGCTGATCGCCATAGCACTCAACTCTGCTCCCCTTAGAGAAGGCATAACAAATAGTAGGAAGATGAGTAAGAACATGAATAAGCCCTTCAAAGCCAAGGGAAAAGTTACCAGATGAAGTGAGATGAGCTTTACATCATCTGGATGGCAGCAAAAATAACTGGAAGGGGAGAAAACAGTGTAGGTTGCAAATATGGCATTCTCTCTCAGTTCAAAGCCGCAAAATTAAGCAAGTAACGAAGATGATTTGGTTTTGTTTTGTTTTTAAAGTGACATGGTAGTCGTCTTAGTGTTGGGGTTCCCAGATTTGCTAGCCTTCAGCTCCCAGAATTCTTCACTATTGGTTATGGCAGGTGGGAATGCTGGAGGTTGATGCTTAAAACATCTGGAGGAATGAGTGGACTACGACAAGCTAGGTTTTAATTTTGTTAAGAGTACATTTGTATAGAAACAAGCTGGAAAGTATTTGCTGAATTTTACAAAATCAAGCTGCTGCCCACATTTTCATGTGCCTTATTATTATGCGCTGTGCAGTCATTTTTCATTATGGCAATAAACATCTGAGGTTGGCCGAGACCATTCCTGGGTTTTGGACTTCCAGTGTCACCCCTGTCTGTCACACCATCTCTAAAGGGCCAATGAGAAAAAAGTCTATTTTGTTATGAAATTCTTCCTTCTTCTGGCCATTATCTGATGTTTGCCCTTATGTACAGCTTGACCTTTTGTCTAGTTGGCACTGAATGAACAGATTTTACAGGGAGTTCTGGAAACTGCCTTGCATCACGTGCTCAGACAGTTACTCTGGGTCATCTGCCCCAGTATTATTTTCTCTGGGTTGACTCCAAGCACGGTATCATTTAATAACTATTAACTGATGTCCCATTGAGGTCAGTGGGCCTCCTGTAAATATTACGAAAGCTGAAGGAAGCCTAGTTATAACTTGACCCTGATCAGGTCTGCAATGACATTGATCTTTGAGAGAGATGATTGAGGTAATCTTTCTGGTTTGTGAACAGGACTTCAGAGGAATCCTGTGCTTAAATCCTGAAGATGAACCACCAAAAAAAAAACCCATGTTAATTCAGAGGAATCCTGTGCTTAAATCCTGAAGACGAACCACCAAAAAAATGTTAATATTCATACAGACAATGAGAGAACCTCCTGCTGTGACACTATAAAACCTTTATCAGTTAAGAATTTCCCCCTATCTAAATGTGGGCTGTCTATAATATCTGTCTTTGGCTTGAGTGCAGTCATAATCCATAGTCTTCCATGTCACATGATATCTGATCTTTTTAGTTTGGGGTGGGCAACCTCAGAGGTTCAGAACTGGCATATGACCATCCCTGAATCTTAGAGGACACAACCTCATCCTCTTATAAATCTCCTTGCACCTTCCAATAGACAAAATGGTGTTGGTGGAGATTATGATAAATTTTTAAAAATGGGGCTGTGGGGGGCCCACTCCACAGGTGTTGGGAGGCCCCCAAAACATAGTAGAATGGTCCCCCATGCATGCCTGCTAGAAGAAACAAGAGGACATTTCAGCCTCCCCACCCCCCCAAAAAAGTGTTGGAGGTATGAGGGTAATGTTTGCGATGTAAGTGGACTTAGAGGGCTAGGCTTTTCCTTTTTCCTTTGATGTTTTTATTTTATGCCTGCATTGTGTTGTGAGCCATCTGGAGCAGCAGTCCTTTTTGGGGCTGTGGACCGGCCGGCTGGGGGGAGCGAGCTCCATGCACGGGGGGGCAGGGGCACCCCTGCGTGAGCACCATGCCTGCAGGGGCGTGTGACACCTGCAGGGGCATGTCACACTTGCATGCATCCACATGAGTGTAACACCCCTCCAAGCATGACACACCCACCACAAGCACAGCACACACCCCATGCAAGCACGCAGGGGGGTGGAGATCCATATCCGTAGCCCCGTTCCAGCAAGCCCATGGACTGTCACTGGGCCGCAGACCGGGGGTTGACAACCCCTGACCTAGAGAAGTGGCGTGCCAGTAGATGGGTGGGCTGAGGAGACTATGTCAGGGTTCTCAGGGGCTCCATGCAGCTCACAGGGTGCATGTTGCCTATCTTGCTTTTGCCTGGACTGGAGTTCTCTCAGATTGACCTTTCTGCACACAGAGCAGATGCTGTACCACAGATAGTTTGCGGGTATGGAACTGCAATTTCCAGAAGCATACCGTTCGTGTTGCCACTGACCATGTTGGCTGGGGCATTCTGGGAACTGTAGTATAAAGAAAGTCTTTTACCCCCATGTTTTGCTATTGTTCCTCTCAAATGCATATCCTATGGTAGCAGGGTATGGCGATACACAGCCCAACCCTAAATGTGCTCACTTGGAATCTGGGAACTGTAGTATAAAGAAAGTCTTTTCCCCCATGTTTTGCTATTATTCCTCTCAAATGCATATCGTGTGGTAGCAGGGTATGGCGGTGCACACCCCAACCCTAAATGTGCTTACTTGGAAGTAAACGTCACTCAGTTCATTAGGGCTCCACTCCCTAATAAATAGGTTTCAGGAAAGCAAATTGTGAATTCAAGGGCCCCAGGTTCAGATCCCACCTTGGGCACATACTCATCAACGCCCCTTAGGAAAATGTTAGTTTAGCCTATTGCCGCCTGCCTGTTAAATACAACACTGGTCTACTTTAATTGGCAGCTTCTGTAATTATGGCTCATGTACATAAGGGGTGGGCCGTATAGGGTTTTCTAAATGTTTTTGAGCTGCAATGCCTATCATCCCTAGCCATCGTAGAGATGATAGGAATTCTTATTCATCAGCTGCTGAGACCCAAAGCCTACACTGTCCCTGGTCATCGAATGAAAGCATTGTGAGGCTTTCTTATGTTGAACCAAGCCTTCCCTTAATAGATTCCCTTCTACCCCACATTCCTGCAGACAGATGTGGGCTGATTGTGTCTGATCCTGCAATATGTGTTATGTAATCTCTGTGGGGCAGGGACTGATCTATGTTCTGTATAGCATCTTGCACGTCATAGGCTTAAAACAAACATTCGATAGCTGAATAAGACAATAATTCAAGTTACTTCTGGATCAAACACATCCTGTAGGAAGGGGTGTTGTTGTTAAAAGGCTAGGATGATCTTTGATCAAATGCTCCTTTACCCACATTGCAGAAGGGTATGCTATAAAAGGCATCAAAGTCATTCATGAAGTTCAAAGGCCATGTTTATGACTGTTGTCCCATTAGATAAAAGTAAAGATTTGATAAAGCAACGGCTTTGTTTCAGATTTCCAGATTTCTAAAGATTGCACAGAGATGCAAGCCTGAATGTTTTCCTCCACTCAACCAGCCTGCTGAATTATAAATATTGTAATATAGTATATATAAGAGAGATGTTTATCCAGCTTCCTTTGAGAGTCAGTTACGGAAGCTGTCATTCTCTGCCACACAGAAAGAGATTGTGAATTCATTGAATGTGCTTCCTATCCATGCCTCCTCAGAAGTAAGCCTGAGAAAACCTTGTAATGTCTGCCTACTCATGCTCAGAATTGCCTTTCCAATTTCTATTACATACATTTGCCATGCCAGAACAGCCTGCTTTGTTCTGGCCTTCTATTTCTTAATTTTTTTTAATATGGACAAAAGCAGTGCTCAGGCTGAAAATCTCTTTCCTATGAAAAGCAGTGCCACATTTTCACCTCACCCAAGAGCTCATGTTGTCAGTCTTACTTCCTTATTTAGGGTCTGTCCACACAGGGGAATGTGGAGTGATCTGGTTCACACTTAAAATATTCTGATCTTCAGAGTGTTCTATTTAATCTCTCATTTGATAAATCCTTCTGTTCACACTGATCAATGTTTTTTTCTCCTGTGAGAAGGGGCTTGAGTCTTTGGGTTTGCCTGGTTTACTCATGAGGAGGTTTACCCAATTTGCTGTTTGATCTGTTCAACTGTTAGTAAATGAAACATTTGGTTCTTTCTCCAACTAATGTCTCAGAGTGAGTTGTTGAGACTATAAGTGCCAGTTGATGAGAAAAAGGGGTGGTCTAATCTGGAGAATTTGCAGCTATTCTACTCTGTGAATCCCTGCACTTCTGCTCTGCAGGAATTTAACTAAAATTCAAAACTCTTTCCAACACATACATATTGCCTTCTTTTGAAAATCTACAGTAAGTTCCTATTTGGCCAGGGAAAAAGATAAATACAGAAAAGTGGCCAGCCCCATCAGAGAACTGGGGTTAAAATTTGGTCTATCCACTAGGTGAAGTCAACTGAAGCCAAATTAAAGCTAAATTAGTAGTATTAGTTGGTGGTTTAAATCAGTTGTTTTCTTAATTTTTTCCTGAACTATGGAGGATATCCTGAATAGCCACCATATCCTGAATAAAAGGCAAAATGGATTCTTAACATCGGCCAATAGGACTATAAACTGAGTGTATAAAGGACAGCTTGAAGAACCACAGTCACAGTGTTCTTTACAAAAATATAATGCCTATTTATCAGACAGTTACTTAGGCAACACTCTGAGTCAGAGAGCAGTTGCTGAAAGGGAGGGATTATGTAAGTGCCTTTTCTCCTATTTGGCAAGAGGCCTGGCTGATTTCTTGGTATATAAGTGGGTGGTTTTGGTCAGGCATTGCACGTGCCAAACTCTTTCCTGTTTCTTTCTCCCTGAGACACAACAGAAGAGACAGACAACCATGTGGCTGTTATTGCTCCTGGTCATTCTCGTGATCTCCATTTTTGTTTATTTCTCTTTTATCCATGGCTCAGGGAAGAACCCCTTTAGCCAGCTGATTCTGCAGTCCTCCAAACCAATTGTCCTGGATCATGAAGCCCGCAAAAAGGTACTCAAAAGAGGTAAGTGAGCTCATGTTGACGAAACCAGCTGGGTTGTAGACGGAGCTGCCACAGACAAAATGAGTTTCTCCTGTGGTTTGGTCCTCACACTTAGCTTGATAAGCCACAGCACTCTGTCATTGATGTACCCACAAAGAAAAAAAAATCTTACCGCTATTCACTGGAGGAAATAGATGATGCTATGTTAAATCGATAGTGGTATAAGTATGAGCCACAGAAATAACTGGGGAACTTGCTAATTCTGGCAGAAGCAACAGTACATCGTTGTTGTAAGTCTCTTTGCTGCCCAATGATAGTTACTCCTTTTGGCTACAGCTGGCAATGCTGGTTGACAGATTCTAGGAGTTATATTCCCCAAAAGCGCTGGTTTGTACATATAGTTGTCTTCACCTCCCTGAATTTCTCAACTGATTCCCTATTGCTTTTCTTGCAAGCACCTTGAGGCAGGGACTTTCCTCTTTGATGCTGCCAAACACTATGCACCACACTGTTGACAGTGACAGCAACAACACAATGTTTTTCCAGAAGGGCAAAGAAAGTCTAATAAAGGTCCAGTTGTGAGCAGATGGAGCCTTTTCCACACATAACCACACATAACAGGGAAAAGCCCCACACCTGTATCGTTGCCATGCTTAAATGTTTTGATCTGATATCTTTGAGATGGTTCTTGACTTGCTTTCATTTGGATGCCTGTGTGGCACACACTCTCCACTTAAGAGTTGCCAATTAAACTAAATAAATGTGATGTGATTTTATAAAGAAGAAAAAAAGGTTCATAGACAACTATGACAGTAGCAATACAGATTTGTGATTTTTGACTTCAAGTCCCAGAATTCCCCCAGGCAACAATTCTGGGAGATGTAGTCCAAAAACTCAAATCCATTTATCTCTAGATCTTAGTGTATAGATTCTGGACTACAGTTCTCAGAATCCCTGATTCTGGCCCATGCTGGATCAGAGTTCTAGGAAGCAACATTTAAAACATCTAGAGCAGTGGTTCCCAACCTTGGGTAACCCAGGTGTTCTTGGACTGCAACTCCCAGAAACCCCGGCCAGCACAGCTGATGGTGAAGGCTTCTGGGAACTGCAGTCCATGAACACCTGGGTTACCTAAGGTTGGGAACTAATCTAGAGTACCAAAGAAAGAGAAACACTGGTTTATGACACTGCAGCAAAGCTGGACTTTGTAATCAGTGCATTTGTATAGTAAAAGGCTAGAGAAGCTTTTGTTGATTTTTTTAAAACAATGCAAACAGTGTTCATTCCCTTTTGGGTCTTGTTCTATTCACACGTGTTACCATTAGCTTGGTGTGTATTGTGTCTCAAAAGCTGGAAGTAGCCTGGGTTGCTCTGCAGTTTTTAAATCCATTGGCACTCCTTTCTGTCAATCCCATCCCACAGGGGCCAGTGAGCAACACGTATGTTTGTTTGCTAAATTTGTTCCAAGGGTCACAGTCTGATTTATGGCTCTGTGAGCAGCAGGACATTTTCTCTACGTGACTCTGAATGTGCAGATTGTACAATGAGCCCCGCCTCGTTGGATCAGACAGTTTTCCGGGTCGTTTGTATTAAGGTTTAAAAGACACACTAAGAAAATGCATATCCTCCATTACTATAATGTTTTCCCTCCAGGTATGCTGTGTTTCCAAGCTCTGCTTGGGAGACTAGTTGTGATTAAAGCTGCCATCTAAGAACATCTGGAATCTGGAGGGTTGCAAGCTGCTCACCCTGATTCGGTTTGAGCCTATTTTATTTTATTTTTAAAGGTTTTTATTAGATTTCTACCCCACCCATCTAGACCAAAGGTCTACTCTGGGTGGCCTAAATGTTGTGTACTCTGGTTAGTTTTGTTTAGGAGTAATTAACTGATGTCTCACTGATTTCAGGCAGCTCCCTCTACTTATCTCAGTGACTGTTGCAAAGCAGAAAGTCTCTGGACTTGGAAACTGCATATATTATTCTTGTAAGACACGGTGCCTTTCAGAGTTTCACAGCAGACAGTTTTTCACCAGCTCTAGTTTCCACCATCAATTCATTTCTCCTTCCTGCATGTGGCACCTGCTGAATTTTTACCTTTGATTTGGTTGTTAAAGGGAACTGTGTGTCTTTCAAAAGGAGAGCCAAGCTGCGCTAAAATCAAAACTGTTGGGAAGATTCTTCCTTGCAAACGGTGACAGTAATTTGTTCTTTTTCAAACCTCTCTTCCTCTGCCCGGGGACAGTATTGCTGTACTGCAAACCTGAAGAGGTCCCTCATGATTGTCTCTCCAAGCGGTAGCAGGCCAAAGAGTGGAGAAAAGCAAAGCCAGCAAAATCAGAGCAAACCCCTCCCCCCATGAGTGCAGTTTGAACAAAGAGACAATTCCCCACCAAACTTCTCTGGACTAAGCCTTATGTCGTGTACTTACCACTTTTAATTCAATTTCATTTATGCCAAATCCAGTGCAAACTGGGGGTACATGGCCAATGTAACCACCCTGATGTATATTCAGAGATAATCCTGCAATGGAGTTAGACTATTGTGGGGGCTTTTAATGCAAGCCATTTAGAATAGCCAATTTTTTTTATTAAAGTGATTAGGACTGAAAGTTTGGATATCTATCTGTCTGTCTGTCTGTCTGTCCCCTACCTACCTACCTACCTACCTACCTACCTACCTACCTACCTACCTACCTACCTACCTACCTACCTACCTACCTACCTACCTACCTACCTACCTACCTACCTACCTACCTACCTACCTACCTACCTACCTACCTAATCTTTCTTTCTTTCTTTCTTTCTTTCTTTCTTTCTTTCTTTCTTTCTTTCTTTCTTTCTTTCTTTCTTTCATAGCAGATTAACCATGCAGTTCTTGTCATTTTAGGCAACAGTTTCCTGTGCCTGCTTGGAGTCCTTTCTAGGTTTGATATAGAATTGGATTCGTCCCACGTAACAGCTCCGATTAAGGTCTTTGGTTCTCCCCAGGTTTCTCCGCAGATAAAGTGCCGCCCAACCTCGATGCGATCGTCATTGGAAGTGGCATGGGAGGTCTGACCGTGGCCGTGGTCATGGCAAAAGCTGGCAAACGGGTTCTGGTGTTGGAGCAGCACACCCAGGCTGGAGGTTGCTGTCACACTTTTCAGGAGAAGGGCTTTGAATTTGATGTCGGTAAGACTTGACACTAATCTGGAATGCCTCACTGAAGAGGAGATCCCAGCCAGCTACATTCATTCAGAGCAGTTTTTGGGGTTGCTACAGTTGGGTTGGAATTTTGTCATCTACCAGGTTTTATGCTTTCTGAATCTTTGGACAAATGGCATATCCAAATAACTCATGTGAAGGCAAATTTTCAGAGAAATGTGTTTAGAAATGCAGTTTGAGAGAAAATATGTTTAATAGTTAAAGTGTAGGGATGTGTCAGAATATACTTTTTCTCAGGCTTCCCCCCCTTTTTTTTCACTCCCCACCTATCCATCTAGAAAAGAGGCTACTTCGCAACATATTCTCTGATTATTCTCTGTCATTGTGACCTGGAAGAACACTTAGGTTGGGGTCACTGGAGAGCTGGATAGCTCAATGGTTTAGGTTTCTGGCTGTGGAGCCAGAGGTTGGGAGTTCGATTCCCCACTGTGCCTTCTTGACAGGGGCTGGACTTGATGATCCATAGAGTCCCTTTGAGCTTTGCAGTTATAAGATTATAGATTATATATTGTGGAAGATCACAGATGGCCACTTTGCCAACCTGCCCAGATGTCGCTGCTGTTTCTGCTGAATCCAATGGCAGCAAACCCCAATGAATATTGAATCCCAACTTTTTTTTACAAAACTATGCTTTATCAGAATGAGCCTGCCCCATTGCAAAAGGTCTGGAACCTGCTGATAGTAGGACCGGAAGCTTTTGAGCTGATCTGTCCATTTGCTTTGTCCTTAAAGCTGATTTGTTAAACCCCATTTCTTGCCATCCAAAGTTTGAAGAAATGGTGGGCATTGCTCAGTTGTTTTTTTCAGATCAAATGAAGAGAGACTTGGTCATCTTTTGTATTGGTCAGATTCGGTAGGTATAGCTATTGCTAACTGTACCTATGGAAAAGGAGGGTCATGTTCTGCTTGCCTGCCAGGAAGCTGTTCAAGCTTGAGAGCTTTTAAACTAGTTATTCCCAACTTTGGGTCCCCGAATGTTATTGGACTAAAACTCCCAAAAGCCTTCACCACTAGCTATGCTATCCAGGAATTCTGGGAGCTGTATGTACCCCAAGAACATCTGGGGACCCAATATAGGAAACCACCGCTCTAAACCCTAACATGACAGACTTTCCCAGCCAGCTATTAAAAAGTTAAATACTTAGAGCACTGGATCTTGGTGAGTCAAATTGTCAGTTTCTGTTTCTTTCTATATTCATCTTTTTATATTCTCAAATTCTTTCCAATCAGAATATGAGAAAATGTGCCAATGTTGGTACAGAGTACAGAGAAGTCTGATGGAATTGGCAGATGATACGGATGATATAATCACCCCTGCTATCACTGAGTTAAAGCTATAATACACATGGCCTGAAGCATCTTATGCGTAAGGACATGAAGTTTTGGCAGTTGTAGAAAGAGGCCACACCCTAGAAGGCTAGAGTTAATGTAGTCAACTTCTTGCGCCAACTCCAAAATGGTCCTTACTTCTTTCTTACTGTTGTTCGTCATACTTGTTAGGTATCCATTATATTGGGGAAATGCACAAGGGTGGCATTATGCGAATGATCATAGACCAGCTCACTGATGGGCACCTTGACTGGGTTCGGCTGGAGGATCCCTATGATATTATATCCCTTGGGGAGAAGGAATACAAACTCTACTCCGAGAAAGCCTTTGTGGAGGAGTTGGAGAAGCAGTTCCCAGAGGAGAAGAAGGCCATCAGAGAGTACATGAGACTGTCTTCGGTGAGAGAGAATGCTGGATAGTTATTTTGAAAGGCAGAACTCAACTGCATACTCTTTGTGGAGGGCACACACATACACGTAGATTGTTTAGTTGCTCATGCAAATGGAGTTGCTCACACAAATAGAGACTCACGCAAATAAATGAGAATAGCATGTGCCATGAACTGGATCCCACACACAGAGTTGAAAGAGACCTGATTCTTCATGATCGTTAGTTTTATTGGCAGTTACAGTAACAAAGTGCCCCTTAATGTTGGTCATGTCACTTTCCTTGGACCTACTTAATGCAATGAATTTGAATCTACAGCGCTTAGCTTTCTGAGAGAACTAGAGATGCCTCACAAACAGATTTACAGGCAGTCTCAGTTCAGTTGAGCGTGCAGCCATTTTTTTTTTTGACCAAGCTTTCTCATTCTCTCACTTGCAGATTACATTGAAGCACATGCCTTTGCTTGTTTTCCTGAAAATGATTCCCATGTGGCTTTCAAAATTCCTCGTCCGATCGGGCCTAGTTCACTGGGTCTCGCCTATTTTCAGGTTGACTTCTACCAGCCAAACCAAAATTGTAGAGCAGCTGACCACCAACAAGGATCTGCAAGCCGTCTTAAGTTATTTCTTCTATGGTGAGGAAAAGGTTGTGGGGGGCGGGGGCGGAGGGAGGAAGCAACTTTGTCTGCTCTCCTTGTTTCCACAACAAGCCAGGTTTCACCAGCATTCCTGTTGTTTTCTGTCTCTCATTGAACCACAGAACCTCCATGAAGGGATTTACCTCAATTCATCATTAAGGGAAGTGAAATATCTTCACAGGGGTCATAGCTCAGTTCAGTGCTAGATCATATTCTTCATATTCAGAAGGTCCTAAATTCTATTTGTGATCCCTGTAAGAGGACTAGGAAAAACTTTTGCCCTGATGCTGGAGAAGCACAGGTAGTTAAGAATACGGGACAAGAAGCATGACTAAGCCTATTATTCACACCTGAGTTCTAACCAGCCGGTTAGTGATAAATTACATTTTTTCAGCAAAACCCAAAATATCAGGAGCTGCAACAAAATGTTGCAGTGTGAAATACTGGTGGTTTCCAGGCATTTCATTTCCCTTTAGTTTTCTGTAACAACTACCCTCCAAAGGTATTTATCCATGGCTGTAAGCTCACCACACGATTAGGTACACTCTAATAACGTAATTACCTCAAATTCCTACATCCCCAACTGCATCACCTTCACTGTCTTTCTCTAATAGGATTCTGCTAGCTAGACGATGGATGAAATAAATTCTGCCCAGAAACCTATGCTTAGGATGGAACCTAGGTAATTGGAGAAACAGTTGACCTGTCGTGACCTCTACTGTCTATAAACTGAATGACCTAATTTTTAGAGCTGCTGTTAAACCGGAGAGATTAACAGACTGAAGCCCCTAATCCTGGTGTTTCTCTTCGTTCACATTGCCAGGATCTATAGACAATAAATACAATAAATAAATGTATTTAAATAAATAAATAAAAACAGAAACAAAATAGTGATCAACCAATTTAATTCAATGTGAGCTCTTGTGGGTTATAATCCACTTGTTCAGACACAATTACAGTAAATAGAGCCAATTATGCACTTTACCAGGAGTGGGCAGCTCATGGCCTTCCAATTATTGTTGGGCTATAACTCCCACCCTTCATCTTCAGCTGATGGGAGCAATCTAACTGATGAGCTCCTATTATGTTATTGTGTCAACCATCAGGACCAATCTTTCTGCCTTTCCATCCCTTGCCCTTCTCCTCCCTGCTGACACATTCCCAGGAGTTCCTCCCAAAGATTCCAGTTTCCTCATGACAAGCCTGCTGGTCCGTCATTATCAACATGGCTCATGGTACCCGAAAGGGGGGCCCAGTGAGATCCCTTTCCAAATGATCCCCATCATCGAGCGATCTGGAGGTGCTGTGCTCATGAGGGCCCACGTGAATGAGATCTTGGTCTCGGAGAGCGGTGCTGCTATAGGTGAGTCCCTGAAAGGATTTGGAAATGGCTTCTTTCTAGGGATGGGGGAAACCTGAACGTTTTGCTTTCCCCCAAATTCAGATTTTTTAAAAAAAATTAAAATTCTTCCCTTTCTGCATATGGGGAAAAAAATCATGAAATTCTTCACATAGAAAGGAAAACAAAATTCTTCTCCATTACCAATGGCAAATCCAACTGGTGTAATTATTTGCAGCATGAAGAGGAGGATTGTGTTGCCTTATCTGGATGCTAGTCAGAAAAACTATATTATCTAGCAGTAACATGGTTCAACCATGTTATCCAGCTATAACATGACTGAATATATTCAAAGCTAGATGTTCAAGAATTAAGCATTCAAGCCTCCGGGCCTGGATAGGTGAATCTATTAGTTACAGTTTCTCCCATATTTCAATCTCAAGACATTTCTACCCCAGATACAATGGAAGTACCAATTTTTGGAAAGTTTATGTAAAAAATAAACTGAAACAAACGTTTCCCTCATCCTTCCTCCTCTTACATTGGACAGTTCTCCTAGCATTAGAAAATGGCCACACTTGTGGAGTTCCGTGTGTATTTTTGACAAGTATGTGTAAACTGGAGCCCACAAACAAGATATAAAGAGTTAGCAATTTGCGGCAGAAGAGAAGGAAAATCCTTGAGAAGAAAAGTTAGGAAGGCCACAGTATTTAAGACAAAGGCTACTCAGTTCAGGCTACCAGTTGGATTCCCAGCTAAAAGGGAGGTTGAGTTAGAAGCCAATTAGTGAACACAGAAGAAACCTATACTGTATCACTTTCCAGACCTTATCAAATGGTTGGCTGATTGTCACATTCCTTCCATGATCAATGGAGTCCTGAGTACAGTAATGGTCTCATAGCAATCTAGATAAAACATACCAAATCAGTATGCAACATTCTCCTTAACAGTAATCTTTTCTAGGGGTGAGTGTAGAGAAGAAACATGGTGGCGATGTAAAAATTTATGCTCCTGTGGTGATCTCAGATGCTGGCCTGTTCAATACCTTTGGGAAGCTGCTGCCTCCTCAGATCAGAAGCAAACCAGGTAAATCAAACACTGTTGTCTGTCCCAGTGAAGTCCACCAGCCCTTAAGTCACATGGACCCAAAATGTTTCTGGGAAGCCTCTAGTGTAGTTCTGCTTCCAAAGTGAACCAGGACTGGATCTATTCAATATGAAGAAGGAAGATTACCTAGACTCTGCTACTGCCACCCCTTCCAGGTATGCTTCTGCCTACTTTGGCATTTCTTCTCAAAAGCTGATGAAGCTCTCAAGTAGACATAGAACTTTAGGTCCTTGCCCACTATGACTACCAACGTTAATCAGGAATTAGCCCCCAAATTTTAGTAGCTTTAGCCAAAAAAATCCAGGAGCTCAGAAGCGTTTCAGTATACACACATGTGCCTTGGCAATTTTCTTTCTGCAGCAACAGCCATTAAACATGAACAACAAGGAAATGGGTGGAAGAGACTAAGCTCTTTTGAAACTACAAGGCATGAGGGGACTGGTAGTCTTTCTGCCCATTAGGCTGTGTGGAGGATACCTTTCAAAAACCAATAGCTCTGATGCCTTCCCCCAGATTAGATTATTGCAATACATTTTATGCAGGATTGCACTTGAAGATTGTGTTGAGACTGCAGCTGGTGTAAAATACAGCAACTAGAATGCTTTTCAGTATTTGTTAGTTAGATATTGCACCAGTCTTGTTTTGATTTGTTTCAGCACCTAATTCAAGGGGTTTGTTATTATTTGTAAAGACCCAAATCGTCTGGCATCAGGACCACCCCTTCACATGTGACCCTGTTCATGGCATTAATTCATTAGTGGAAGTCTTGTTCTGCTTTCCTCTTCAGCAAAGGAAGATGCAGTTCGGGGTAACTCACAAAAGGGCCTGCTTAGTGGCAGCACCCTGTAGAATTCTCCCTCGAGAGGTTTAACCAGTCCTCTCTTTTGTGTGTGTGTGGTTTTTAGGTAGGTAGTCAAGACCAGCTATTTTGGCAGACTTTTAGTGATTTTTTTTAAAAAAAAATTAAATTATTGTTTTTATCACCCTTGTTTTAGCAGACTATTTTATTTTTGCTTGTAACTCAATTTTGATGTTTTTGTTGCCAACTGTGTTAGAAGCTCTAACAAGGGACTGAAAAGTGGTAGTGTTGCATGGCAGTTAGAGTGCTAGACTAGGACATATGAGACCTGGATTCAAATTCCTGCTCAGCTGTGAAGCTTACATGATAAACGTTCAGTCCAGCCCCCATCACTGGGTTGTTGGGTGGATTCAGTAGTGAAGAAGGGAGCCCTGTGTGCTGCCTTGATCTCATTGGAAGGAAAGTGGAATGTAAATGTGATTTTAGAAACAAAAATAAATGATGTGAGGACTAGCATATCCTGTTTGCATCAAAGCAGAGAGCATACAGTGGGGTCTCTACTTAAGAACGTCCCTACTTAAGAACAATCCAACTTAAGAACAGCTCCATTTGCTAAATTTTGTTTCTACTTGAGAACAGAAATCCAAGATAAGAACAGGAAAAAAAACCTTTCCTGCTCTTTTTTTAACCTTAGGTTATCTTAGGTTAAAAAAAAAATTCTCCCCATAGTGGTAGAGTACGTATTAACCAGCTCTGGTTAATGTACGAACGCACCTCTACATAACAAAAAAACAGCCAGAACGGATTAATTGGTTTTCAGTCCATTCCTATGGGAAATTTTGCTTCAACTTAAGAACATTTCAACTTAAGAACACCATTCCAAAACGGATTAAGTTCTTAAGTAGAGGTTCCACTGTAGTTTCTATGGATGGAAAAGAGCAGATACGGATTAAATGGTTTTCAGTGCATTCCTATGGGAAATGCAGATTCAGCATAAGAACTTTTCAACTTGAGAACCACCTTCCAATACGGATTAAGTTCTTAAGTAGAGACCCCACTGTATGGGTAAGGTTGGGAGAGGAGTTTGTGACTTTGTTATTCGGTGGATTTGTGAACCTTTTTGCTCATCCCCTTCTGTAATTTATGCAGCGATCCAGTCTCAACTTAACTTGGTCAATCACAGCATGGGTTCATTCTTAGTCTTTGTGGGCCTTCGAGGGACCAAAGAAGAGCTTGGTATCAAGTCGTGCAACTACTGGCTTTACCCACATAATGATCTGAACGGCATGTAAGTAGGGTCTTCCCCAAAACCTAGTTCTAAAACATGTATTTCTTCAGTACACCTAAAGGTGAGGAAGTGCAACTTTGGTCTAAATACAAGTTGAGGAATCCCATTACTTCACAGGTCTTGAAGAAAAGCATCACACCCTTGCAGAAATGGCAAAGTTTAACAGGGGTATGTATTTGTTAATTAGGTGTTTAGGGGGAAATGGAGAATAGCTTGAAGTGAATGAAAACAGAAGAACAGAAACTGGAAGGAGGCCTTCTATCCCTCTACACATTCCATTAAATCTACATTCCGCTAAACCTTTGGGAGAAGGATGGGGTACTATTTTTCTGCTGAGGTCCACATTCCCTCAGGGATGTGTCAAAGGTCATATGCTGACAACTGGAGACCCTCTGTGTGGCAGTGAGCAGAGCCTGGGCCAAAAATCAGGAGGTGATGTAAGCAGGGTTTGAAACTAGGTCAAGGTCTCTGTTCAGCCATTGGAAGGCAGGCTGCCTGCCACTGCTTTAGAACCTATCCTTATGGCCTTGCCGGGAAGAGTTCTTCAGAACTGGGACCAACTCAAGGGCAAAGCGAGAGGTGAAAAATTTCATCTATCTTTGCCGTGGTTTTGGGGTAGTGAATCTGTGCCTAATGTACATTAAACTTTGTACACTCAGTGGCTAACCACATGGAACAGTTACTACATGTTTTGCCTTATACAACTGGTTCTATAAGACCTACAGGCATTTGGGAGGGAGGGAGGCAAACAGGAAGGGATTCCTATCTTCTCATCTCACTAAGTAGAGAGAAAATTCTGCAGCCAGACCTGGGCAAAATGCGGCCCTCCACATGTTGCTGAACTGCAACTCCCAGCAATCCTAGCCCACACAGCCAATAGTGAGGAGTGTTGGGATTTGCAGTTCAGCAACATCTGGAGGGCCGCATTTTGCCCAGGTCTGATTTTGTTTGTGAAGTGTCTTTAAATCCTGGGCACCCACCTTCACCCATTCCCAGCTGGCACTAAGGCTCCCTGGTTCAATACAAAGAGGTTTGTACATGCATTGCACTTCTGAGCACCAAAAAGGCAGGAATGGGGTGAATGGACAGCCAGGTACTTACATGTGCTCCCATCATACCATTTGCAACAAATCAGAAAGTAGGGTGCCATTGTCACAATTTGTAAGTACTTTGTTGCACGAATCCTAGCAGCAAGGGTGCACATACGGGGGGGGGGATTCTCGCCCGTGGTGTGGGCGAGGGCTTTCTACAAGCTGCAGTAGTAGCACAGGGTCCAGAAAAGCTCGGTCTCAGTCATAAGTATTGTGAGAAGTGAGTGGCTTTGGTGACACAGAACTGCAAGAGGAACATTGGCAGAAGCTACTGATGGGTTTAGCGCTGATCTATTTAAATACCCCATGTTCCATGATAGCTGCCACCTTTTTCACAGGAAATTCAAATTTCTCTTTTCTTTGTGTGCAGAACCACAAAATACATGGATCTGCCCAAAGAGAAGGTGAGCACACACCTCCCTATGGTGTACATCACATTCCCCTCAGCCAAGGATCCCACCTATGAAGAACGGTATCCAGGTATCTTTTTTTTTCAACATTTGGAGAGGAAGGGTTTGGAAAAAAGAATCTCCACACTGTTATGTCTGGCATTTAAAATAAATAAACGGCATCATCTATGTGCCACTTCAGAAGAGAAAGGCTTGATAGGTCCCTGTTGCAAGAGGATCATAAACTAAAAAAATAAACCCAGGGAATTGGCAAAAGAAGGAGAAGGAAACAGATAAGCAAACAAAGGATGTTTAACTATTTCATCCTAAGCTAGCAGGCATCCTTCAGTCTCAGAAGACTATGGTAACGTGCTCTGAATTGAGGTCTTGGAACAGTATCTAGTGTGGCTGAGGAGGCCAATTCAAGAGTGACAATCCCTTCCTAAACTATACATTGGCTTAATTATAACAGCAATTCTCAAGGATTTTGTTGAGTCATTAGCAAACTGACTTCATTAGCACTTCCTAGGATAACATGTGGCTCAGAGAAGCAAAGCAATGTTCAATTCTTTGCATGTCTCAGAATTAGTCAATATAGTTGTTGGCACAAAATATCCAGACAAATGGATTTAATGATGCATATTATACATTGAAAAATATGCCACACCATGCAGTTTCTGTTAATAGATGAAGAAAAATATGTAATTTGTTCAGTGATACAAAAACACACATTTTGTGAAAATGTTTGGTCATAGTGACAATTTCTTTATTTGTGTGTTTTATTGAAATCCAGTTGATGGGGAAATGGAAGGAAATACCTAAAAGTGAAAAACAGACAGGACTGACATCGATGGGAAATAGATCCAGCCACTCCTACTTGTAACAGGATATTGTGATGACAAGAAATGTATTGCTATATTTTATGAATCCTCGATTTACCTGCAGGTCACTCTTGCATGGCTCTTATCAGCATGGCTCACTTCAAGTGGTTTGAGGAATGGTCTGAAGGCCGTGTGAGGAACAGAGGGGCTGACTATGACGCCTTCAAGATGGAGATTGCCCAGCAGCTGCTAGACATGGCTCTGGCAAAGTTCCCCCAGCTGAGTGACAAGGTAAAGGTCTCCACAAATGCCCTTTTCGAAGAAGTTGGGCACAAATTGCTACACTTCTTTACCCTTTTTCTGGGTGGTGAAGAGTGTTTCAATGATTGTCTCCAGGAGAAAGTCCACTGTTCCTTAGGGGTGCAGGGAGCTTGTGAAGGCTCCATTTGCTCTCAGGTAAGAGGGAGATGAACCATTTCCCTTCGTAGGACACAGGCAGGGTATCTCAGGAAACTGTTTTTCAGAAAACTGTTTCCCAAAATGCTTCCAGAAAGCCTGCAAGCAAGCCATGAAGGCCTCTTTTGCAGTTTCTGTCCAGCACCTGCTATTCAAAAGCATCTGATTTATCTTTAGAAATTGTCCTGAAGAACACATTTTGTCTTATCTGGAAAAAAATTAGTTTCATTATTGCCTACTTTTTATATCTTCCTGGTACTTCTAGATAGAATTTATGGAAGCTGCTTCCCCTCTCAGCAACCAGTACTATCTAGCTGCCCCTGTGGGTGAAATGTATGGAGCTGAGCATGATCTGTGCCGCTTTGATCCACTGGTTATGGCTGCCATGAGACCCAAGACTCCCGTTCAGAATCTCTACTTAACAGGTCAGTGCCTTTTTCATCTCCCACATACTTTAAACAGGTAAAGACAAACACCACCTGGAAGTACGTAGTGAAAACTAGCAAGTTACTTCTAATTATTTATTTTCTTTCAGTAACAGAGTTATAAGTATGTGCTAGAGAGATGGTATTGTTCAGTGGGTATGCAGTATTTAACTGTTAAGTCAGAAGTCTGAATCCCTGCCGGGTTTGCTAAGAAAGGACTGGATCACTTTGAGAATACATGGCTAGTGGGAGTACATGCCTCACTATCTGTGGCGCCTTAGGCAATCTGCACAGTCCCAAAAAGAGGGTAAACTGTTTCTGAGAAACTTTTGAGGGTGACCATAAGTTGGAAACGATGTCACGTAATTACAGTTACAGCCTTCTTTAGGCAATCAAATGGTTAACTAAACTAATCATAAAAATCAGGTTTCAGAATACAGTGGTGCCCCGCATAGCGACGATAATCCGTTCCGGAAAAATCATCGCTATATGGATTCGTCGCTATGCAGAACAAAAAAGCCCATAGGAATGCATTAAAACACGTTTAATGCGTTCCTATGGGCAAAAAACTCACCGTTCAGCGAAAATCCTCCATACGGCCGGCATTTTCACTGCCCGGTAAGCAAGGAATGGGCACGAAAACATAGCGGGCGGCCATTTTAATTACCCAGTGGCCATTTTGGAACCGCCGATCAGCTGTTCTAAAAACATCGCTATGCGAAAATCAGTAAACAAAACAGCTTACCAATCATTGCAAAGCAATGTTTTACCATTAAAAACATCGCAATGCAATCGCTTTTGCAATCGCAAAAAAATCGTCGCTATGTGGATTCTTCGTTAAACGAAGTGCTTGTTAAGCGAGGCACCACTGTACTGTGGAAAGCCTCTATATTCAGGAGATGATGCTTTCAAGTTGTCACTTTCACCTCAGGAGAACACTGGTGGAGGGGCAGAACTAGTACGCAGTTTTCCTCTTGTCTTTAGTTAACCTTTAGACAGAATGCCTGAATAGGGCCACAGTTGCATTACAACTGTAATGTGTAGGTAGCTGCTTCTTTTATGATATAACTGTAACTGTGTTCATTACTTTTTTCAGTAATGTCACAGTCCAAGCATGGCCTTGTGCTGTGCTTATTGCTCTTTTGTGCGTATTGACAGGGGAAACAAAAGGAGGAGGAATGGAGTCCATTTTGTTTCATTCAGTTGTTTATTTGTTTTTTGTTTTTCTGTAAATTGACAAGAAGAAATTTTTACTTCCTTTTGAGAATAGGGAAAGCAAAGAGTTACTTTTCTATAATTGTAATTTTAATGATGACTATTTTCCCCAAAAACAATAATGCGGACAATTAATCACTTTTTAAATATAGTTTTGCAGATGAACATGTAAAGAGGAGTCCATGTTCAGGTTCCTGCCTCACATGAGTTAATCTTTCATTGTGAACTGCCCAGGAGTCAAAGAACTTTAGAATTCAAAATGCCTCAGTAAACTGAAACTAGCACCTGTGTGAATACACCCTGCAACTTTCTCTGAGGTATATTTTTTTCATCTCCGCAATCTAGGACAAGATATCATCACTTGTGGCCTTGCAGGGGCTCTGAATGGAGGTTTGCTTTGTGCCTCAGCTGTGCTTGGACGCAACGTTTACATAGACATTGTGAAACTGAAGAGAAAACTGAACAAACTGAACCACAAGAAAGATACTTAATTTATTTCAGCTGGAACTACACTCACAAAAACCGAGCTATTACAGCTTGGTCCTAGGAGCACAAGGCCTATCTAGTCCAGGGTCTTGTTTCTCCCAGTGGATAACTGGATGCCTCTGGGAAGCCCATCAACAGGCCTTGAGGAAACAACTGTGTTTCATTTGTTAATGGAAAGCATTCTGCCTCTATATTGCGGAGGTAATATATGGGCATATTGATTAGTAGCCATTATGCTCCATGAATTTGTCTTATTTCCTCTGAAAATCGTGGGTTGCCATCTTAGTACTGTATTGGCAAATTCTAGAGCTTAACCATGTGTCTCATGGAGAAATAAACACTTCATTTCCTATACAGTGTTTCTTGTTCTTTTCTGTTGGGAATAGGTAGAGGGGCCATTTTGTTTTATTTTATACATTTTAAGAAAAGGAAATAGACTACATAATTGGTAGCAGGAGATGGAGAAGCTGAATCCTCTCTGCCAAAGTTAGACCAGGAACAGATTGTGGTGCTGATCATGAACTGTTAATATTGAATTATTTAAAAAAAAACCTCCAGTTGATGAATGTAGAATATTGTGCTTCTGTATCCAGAATTCAAAACACCAGGAGATGGCCTGGTAGTGCTGCACAATATCATTCCCACATTGCCAGCAGGAAAAAAAAGATGCCAGGCTTTACATAACAAAGGTCAGCCTGAATGTTGACAATACCAATGGCAGCAGTCAAGATGGTTTCAATATACCCTCTTATATTCACTACCATTTACAAAGTGATGCAATGCAAGGGAAAATCCCAGAAACTAACTCTTTTTTTCTTCAGTTAACTACTTCTTACCCAAACACAAAGCAATTGTCAGAGCTGTTTTTTAACAAGTATGGATGGTAGTGAGCACAAGAGAATATCCTGTAGACCATCTTGACTGCTGCAATTGATGTCAACAGGCACCAACAGGCTGCCCTTTACGAGGTAAAGCTTAGCATTCTTTTTCCTCCAGGTGCTGAAGGCAGCTACCATGGTACAGACAACAACCCTGGGAAGTAGGTCATGTGGGGAGACCTCTCATTTACAACTGTATGAGCAAAGTTATCTTGTGCTCTTCGCAGGAGAGAGCTCCAATTCACAACTTCAGAACCAAAGACAGCTAGTGGCTTTCAAAGGGCCAAGAAGAGAAGTTCTAAGCTGAAGACCAGCCAGTGAATCAGCTGGAGAAATGTGATGCCACCTCTATTGAAAAGAGTGTTCCTTTCTCGATAATTTTTTAAACTGGATGAAAAGCATATATAGCAAGCAAAATGCAAGAACAATAGTAAACGGAGAGAAAACTAATCAATGTCAGATTTCTAAAGGAACACGCTAAGGATGTCCACTCTCACCCCTGTTGTTCATAGCAACATTGGAGTTACTACTAAGGAAAATAAGAAAAGAGGAACAAATTAAAGGTTTAAAAATTGAGAAGCAACAGCAGCAGTTGAAAGAGCCTTCGCGGATGATATGGTAATATTTCTGGAAGACCCATCATGTAGTATTATGAAACTTAAAGTAATAATCAGTGACTTTGGAGAACGAGCAGGTTTAATTATAAATGAAGGAAAAAACTAATATACTGACAAAAAAATGACAGGAAAAGAAGAGAAAGAATTAGAAATTAAGACAGGTTATAAAGTAGTGAATAAAGTAAGATACCTGGGTATAACAATAACTAAAAAGAGAAAGGACTTATTTGAACAAAATTATGAGAAGAAAGGGAAAGAAATTGAAAAAAATTTAGAGAGATGGAAACACTTAAAAATTTCATTGATGGGCAGAATAGCAATTATCAAAATGATGGCATGACCTATATTCGTATTCCTATTTCAGAATACCCCGATAATAATAAATAACAAACCATTTCATTTGTGGAGAAAACAACTCTCAAATTTTATTTGGCAGG